AGCATTGCGTAAGCGTAGTACGAAGCGTTTCCCTCTGCGTGTTACTGTTTTGCAGTCATTATGCTCATGCTCCCAGCGTGGGTTTACTGCTTTTGCCATTTCGTTAAAGTCAACATAGGAGGACGTATTCTTGTACAGTGTAGCTCAAATTTATTCTTTCTTTTAATTTTCAAATTGTTATTTGGTTCTCAGTATAGATAAATGATAACTCGATCAGACAAGGGGGAGGAGAAAACAACACCGAGATGATATTTTTATGAGGAACTGAACCTGTGCCGTTTCCCCCTCGGCTGTGGTGTGCATCTGTCTGTAGAACCTGTGCCTCTATGAATGAAAGAAACATTCTCATTTAGCTGAATATTATTTTTGTTACCATATATAGTTTTCCTTCTAATTTTTATGCAGATTGATGCTGAATCTATTTCACAAGAACCTAGCCCTTCCCAAGAACCAAGCTGAGCCCTTCCATCAGTTGAAGTTTCTGCATACTACTTTGTCTCGGAAAGGTCTAGAGGAGTTTTTTGATGCTCCAGGGAACTGGGGAGAAAAGACTGTGAAGTCTGGTGAGTTATATTTAGCATTTCTGATAGTGATCTTTGAGCCACTTGTGCTCAGCTGAAATCTTACTCTTTCACATTATAGGAAATATTCATAGCTACTTAAATCTTATTTTTTATATGTATATGTACATATGTATACTTTTGCATCTTTATGCCTGTTAATTTTGGTTTTTCTGTGTTTATGAAAGCAAACAGCTATCATGCAGCAAAATATCTTGCTGTAAATCCTCTGCCTTGCTCTTGAGTAAGAATATATCACAGAAGAGATGCTCTTTGATGAAACATGTGGTCTTACGGAAGAAAAATATTTCATCTTATAGCTTTCCTTATTCCTAGCCTTTTATAAACACAAATAAACAGTGCATGTAACTGCCTTTTTAACATATTTGTATATTCAAAGCAAAGCTGAATATCCACAAGGATAGCTTTCCAAGCAGTAGACTTCTTTTTTAAAAGTGATCCTTGTTCTGTTGAGTCTGCTGAGCCTGCTAAGAGAAGCACTTTTTTTTTTTTCAGATTAAGAGAACTTTGTTCTAGTAAATTGATTTTTTTGTTTTATTTTTTTTACAGGGGATGCATGGAATATAAAGCAGCTAAGGGGCAAGAGTAGTGAAGACTTGCACAAACTTTGGTTAGTAAGTTTTAGTGAAGTAGTTTCTCTTCTTTCAAAGCAGCTCTGCACGTTTCATTAAAATGTGACTAGTGAACTTGTTAGCCGGTAAATTTAGTCTGCCATACAGCTCTGGATGCTTAAGCCTGCTCTGGGCATGGAACAGCCCGAGTTCTGGTACTGCTCGGAATATGAAAGCTGTACTGCCGGTGGTTGTGTGATAGTTGTGTCCAGTACAAAGGGTTTAAGTTTGGTACGAAGAGGCTGAGTTTGAACCCTCTGGCAGTTGTTTGAACTGCAGGGCAGACAGACATGGTTGTAAGTGACCTGTGATGGGGCTAGCCACTAAATTAGATCAGGTTGCTCGGGTCTGCATCCATTCCCGTTTTGAAAGTCTCTGAGGCTGGAGATTGCATCACCACTCTAGGCAACCTGTGCCAAGGCTACACTAGTACTTAATTATTAGTGTGAATAATTTTTTCCTTGCTACATCTTGTCCTTTTGTGCACCTGTAAGAACAGTCTGGCTCTGTCCAGGTAGTGGAAGGCTACTAAGTGTTAATCTCTTCCATCCTTAGCCTTCTTTATTTCAGGTTAAGTAAACCCGTGTCCCTCAGCCTCTCCTTGTACCCCCTGTACGTCAGCCCTCCCCTCCTCACCTCTACTGGGTTTTTTCCGGTTGGTCCGTATCTTTTTGCTTCTTCGTATGAAGCTAGCGGGTATAGGATATGGGATTCTAGGTTGGACAACTGTGCTCCATCCAGCAGGGTGGTGAGTGAGTAATTGCTAATGCATCCAGAAATTATTTTTTAAGTACTATGCTTTCTGATCTAGGTATGTCCTACTGAAGGAAAAAAACATGCTTTTAACTTTAGAGCAAGAATCAAAACGACAACTCAGGCCTATGCCAAGCCCAGAACGATTAGAAAAGGTAACTTTTTCATACTAGCTAAAAATATAACTCTTAAGTAAAATTGCTGAGTGAAAGATGTAACAAGTTTGTAAACTTGTTAAAGACCTTTTTTAAAATTATTTCCCTGGTTTTAGTATATGCATACTGTGCTCAGGCAACAGTGGGAAAGGCCTCTCCACCTGTTACATAACGTTAAGAAACATTTTGCCATCTTCATGCCCTGAAACTGCACTAGAGGATTTCTAGAAACTTCCTGGTAAAACTTCAACGTTATCTCTATCCTTAGCCTCCACAAACTTTTTTAGCTACTTAACTGTTGCCAACTTCTTGCCTCTGACATTGTCTTCTCCAAACTTTTGCCCTGTGGTTCTTTGCTGTCCTCACTTTTGTCATTCCCTCCTTCTTTTGCATTATTGCAATTCTGCTGTGAATTTAATAAATTCTTTCCTCAGTATCTTTACCATTGAAAACTTTACTTATAAGTCAACTGTCATCTCTATGCTTATGTCTCACAGATTGAAGTCTACACCTTCACTGGCCAGTTAAATAGTCCAGCTGTTTGACATGAGAGATATTCTCAGATACCCCCCTGTGTATCCAAATTAATCTGGGAAAAGTTTGAACTTTACATAGTTAATCTGAATCTCTTTGTATGGGTAGTAATTTGACTGTTGTTTGCCATCTCATGTATCTGTAACTGCATTATGATGGCTCTTTTTTATGTCAGACATGGATTTATTTGGTCTCCTAGTCTTGTCATTTCATTACTGTACTTATAAATTTGGGAAGATCCAATATAAAATTCTCCTCTGGATCTCCTAGGGTATCTTGTTCTAATTTACGGTAATATGGTTTCTCACCTGTATTTTGTGATTCCCATTCTGAAGAGCATTTTCTGCTTAGTCCCACCTACACATCCATATTCAGCAATTACGAATCACAGTAGAACTTGTTTTGGGAGAGAACTTAAGCAAGTAGCCCCAACACTTCAAAAGTCAAGTCTTACTAATTGCCTGTTTGGTTTTGGCTGAAGCCCAAGAAAAGTAGAAGTCAAGCACTAGTTAAATACTGTGATTGCACCCAGATGAAATACATAAATCTGCTTATTAAAATTAGCCTTAGCAGCTTCCCAGAGCATGTAACATGTCGCCATACACAATGTGTGTTACAGCAGTATTATGAGACAGACCTGACTAAAAACCTTCAAGTGTCATAGTTTGGTCACGGCAGCTCTCTAATGGGCCAACAGGCATTATTGAGGCTGTGGCCAGACTCCAAAGTGAAAACTAGAATAACAAGTGGTCAGTACAAACTGTTTGACAGAAATACATACACCATACCTTCTATTGGCTTCTTCTACTTCCTTCCCACCCCTGCCTCAGTGCTTTCTGTACTTCTAGCATCAGCATTAGATCTGGCTTTATGCATTAGCCAGCTAGTCTTTAATGAAATACCAGACTGTCACTTATTTTATATCTGTTCTGCTTGTAAGCTAGGTTTTTAAAGTACCCATTCTTTACTGTTCTAGTACACAGGGCTAATTCAGCTGTTTCACTCAGTCCACAACTGTAAGATTACTCATGGTAGAACTCCTAGTGTTTTATCTTTGCTTTTCCTTTAATTTTTTTTTCTTAGATCTTCATTTGAGATCTTTTAAATTGTCAGCATTTTGTTTTGTTGGCTCATCCTGAAACTTTCCTATTTCCAGGTAGAAAAGTCTATGAAAAATATAGACTTGGTTGTCAGAGAAAGAGAAATTGCTTTGAGGCTTTTACAAACTGGCCATGAAAAACCAGTACCTGGCGAGTGGAGACATGACTTCTTAGGACGCACCTACTGGTATGGAAAAGAGAACTTTTTTTCATATGTGTGAATTCTTCTTGTGGTATGTCTCTCTACCAGAAAATCCTTATCTAATCAAGAAAGGATGCATATCCTGTGTAGAAAGAAACATGTTTTCTGGTCAGCATTCAGGTGCTTGATTTTTTTTTTTATGTGGTTATAATTGTTGCTAAATAATTAAATGGCAAACTCTACCATTAATATAACAAAATTATTTCCATGTAACTAATATGACTTCTGTACTCAGAGGCTGTCTGTTACTATAACTACTCTGTAACACATGAATGAACTAGGGAGTAGTGTTCAAGTTGAACCATCCGGACTTCCCTAGTTGTAATGCAAAGTCCACCTATTGGGGGACAACCACCCAAAGTATTGCATGAGACCACACAAACTTCTGTGGGAATTCCCTACTAGTCTTGGCAGATATTGAACTTAGCTAGAAGCTTCTGCCTTTAGAATTATTTATTGTCCAGATACTTCCAATAATCTGTAATTTCAGGTGATGATGCTGAAGGCTCTAGCAGGACCTGCTATTTCATTAACCAGTATTTTACCCTCATCGTATTGGCATTTGAAGCACTAATTACAGTATTCAGTTCTGCAGTAACAGTGTAGATAACAGAAGGTCACATGTTATAATAATGGTGACTTTTCAGCTGTTAGCTATTTGCTTACCCACTAAATGTAAATCAGCAGAGTACTAAATGCACTAACCACTAGATTTACATCTCTAGGGATAAGGCTTCCTTGTATCTCTTTCTGCTTGCAAACACTGTCTCCAAAGAAGGGTTTGCCCGTGTATTTGGAAGTCCAGTCCCCAGTTAAAGCAGGGGAAGGGGCAGACAACGTGAAATGGTCTTTAAGCACATGCAGAAACTCTGGAATACACATAATAGTCGGTCTGACACAATCTGGATGCACTGGAGTCTGTAGGTAAGTCTGCACAGGCCATCTGTGCAGCCCATATGCAAGAGAAACCCCAAACAGAAATAATAGAGTCTATATTTAGAGGGAAAGAATTATGTTCAGGCAGATTTGCACTTGACACACTCAAACACTGGCATTTAAAAGAAAACTGTAGTAGAAACAAAACTCTTTTCAAAGACAGTTTGTTCACATTGGCTTTTGAAAATTTTCTTATGAAGGAATAACTTTAAAATATAAATGCAAAGAATCGCTGTCTACTGGGCCCTCTCTTCAAATATCTGCAGTTTTTAAAGTAAGACCACTTTCTACAGAAAGATGCTGAGCTACATATGAGATGTAGTTGTAAACCAAGCCAGCAATAGAGCTGAAAGTTAATACCCACATACAAATTCTGCGATCTACTAGTCAGACCACTTTATCACTGTACTGTAACCAAGTGTAACTGGTAGAATCCAAGAATAAAGACAAAAGGTACATGTTCTGTACTCACCGTTGTCTGTCTTTAACAGGTACACTTATAAGGAATGGCCAATACCATGGTACTTGAACAAAAAATACAAAAAGAGGAAATTCTTTTACTTGCCTCATGTGAATCACTTCATCAGGTAAAAAGATTTTTTTTTTTTACATTGAAAGTTATTTTCTGATCTGTTCCTCAGTCCTCCTTATTCCACTTTGCAAGGAAAAAATAGTAGTAATCTTGTTGTTTTGTTTTTACAGCTAGTAGATTGAAAATAACACTTTTTAAAATTACAGCCTGCTCCAGTTCTTTTTGCTGTTTCCATCTTAGTTATTAATTTAACCAAGAGACTTGGTTATCTGTGAAGCTGCACTGTAAAAGTAACTTTACATGCGGACTACCCAAGATCTTCCCAGAGGCTGACTTTCTGTAGAATTCAAAAGCAGAAGGAAAAAAAAAAAAATTGCTTTGCAGGCATTTTTGCTCATCAAAAGCAAATTAATACTGAACTTATTAATGACTGGGAGCCTCTATTTGACTAGGGGGCTGACCTTATTAAGGGTGTTACAAGCTATCTAGGAATTTACCACACTGACTTCTTTATTTCAGGCTCAGACGTGAAAAATACTTACGTGGAAGGGCAAGAAAGCAAAATCTAGAGAGGACGAGGCGGAAGGTCTTGGAAAGGAAGTTCCCTCACCTTGCTGTAAAATCACAAAGCCAGTAACATGCTGGAGAAGCGCTGCAAACAATTGCTCGACTATCTTTGTGACTGGAACGTGAAACAAGTTCTGAAACCAGCAACCAACTTGACTGAGCATTCCTGAGAGTCTCCTCCTTTTTTTTTTAATCCCATATTTGACCTATATTAAACTTGTGATCTGGAATTAAAAAGCAGTTTTGGTGCATAACTGACATTAATCCTAACAATTGTTTCTAGAAACATTTGAAAAAAATGATGTATTAACCAGCTGTTATAAAAGTGAGACATACATCATTAACAGTGAAAAGCAGCAACTGGCTGCCAGATGAAAGTGTAAAGTGTAGGGATAGTATTTACCTAGTGTAGTTTAACAAACATGCATTAAAACCAGACAGAAATGTGAGAGCCTCTGAAGCTCATGTACCCATAACTCAGATGCTGAGGGGACAAAGGCTGGTATGTCACCTAAGTTACAGGAGCTTTCTGCACAACAGCATGGGAAAACATGCTCTTCAGTCTGCTTCGAGAAGCTTTTTCCCTGCTTTAAGCCTGGCTTGTTAGGAAGTATGAAATATTTAGCATGTGAACTTTTAACAATGCAGTCTTTTTACCTAAATTTCTACATACCTATGATAAATTAAAACGTTTGTGCAATGTTTCTTTGCAGTGTTCAAAAAGTTTGAAGGAAGACTGGTAATAGTCCTCTATGAAACTGAAGGAGAAAGGTACTGCTACTGCTCTCAGTTAACGGTAAACACCTACTTCATGAAAGCTTTTAACCTTCAGATGAGGTTCTGTAGAAATTTAGAATAAAGTCACAAATACTAGTCTTTCAGGAAGGAAATGTGCTATGCAATATAATCTGATAAAACACTGGAAACTCCAAGGGAACCAAAACTGTAGGAGATAAACATATCTGTCTCCATCATCTTGACCTTCAGTTACTCCTCTGCATCACACAAAATACCCACTTCTTAAACAGAAACTCTTTACAGTGGTGAGAAAACCCCAGAAAGTGTTTTCTCCATATGATGCTAGAACATTCACAGATATTACCATTGTACTCTAATTCTTTTAAGAAAACACCCAGAAGATAAAAGTTGATTAGACATACTGAAACCTAAGCACATGACATGAGAGCTTAAAGTGCATAGTCAGTTCATGAAGAGAAACTAAAAAAGCCTACTTTGTATCTTCACCTCTAGCTACAAGCTGTCCAGTCAATCTTAGTACTTCCCTGATGTCACAGTAACTTTATAAAGCATTGCTCATTGTGGGGTGCTGAGATACAAGCTGAGCTGACATTCCAACTAGATCAAGTCTTTTTATTCCAGTATAAGAGTAGCTGGTGCTGTACATCACCTATTGTAGGAGACTTAAGTTTGCCTCATTTTATGAGAGAAATATGGTTTGTCAATAGCTTTGAAAATCTGGACCGAGCAACTAATGGTTATCATGATAAGACAAAAGCAGGCTGTTTGGATAAATTACTTTATTGTTTGGAGGTAATGTGAAACTGTTTTCAACTAGCAGCCTCATCATTATTTACCCACAAGGTCTTTTAGAATATGAAAAATGTAGCAGTACTGTTTACATATTTTTTTTTTAAATGCTATTTGGTTTTCCACAGCTTTCAAGATAAGGAGCAAAACTTCATTGTGTCCCAATAGACAACATGACACAGTTTTAAATTGCAGCAAGCTTAACAGCAACACAGAACTGCATCTTGGCAGCCAGTTAAAATATCATCCTACTTCCTCTGCCCCTGAGCACACACTCCCCATGCAAAACACAGGCACTTACTGACCCTGCTATGAGTCAGCTGAGGGAGCCTTACCAGCCATAAATGAGTAGTGACTGCCCCTTGGAGTTACAGCTCCCTGTGAAAATGTCAAGCCGCATCCTGAGGTCTTCTATGACTATTCTAGTCTTGGAGAGACAATTCTTTGCCTTAACTCCCCTGACTTGAATGAGTTTTGCTTCTCACCTACATCACAAAGGCATTATATACATTCTTAGAAATCAGGTGGAAAGCACTGATCGTTTACTGAAATGAAATTACTCTGTAATAGAAAATTAGCAAATCAGTGCTTAATAGAACATTCACTACATGGAATGTAACACTTTCATGAGACAATAAAAGCTTACACAGAACTGAGTCACCTATAGTAGATTACTAAATACAAAAACTTTCCATTTTTAAAACAGAAGAGTAACTTTCTCTGCAAGTACTCACAAAGTTGCTCAAATATAAAAGACCAAATTTTATTTTTTGAGAGAGAAATAAGAGCAATTTAAGGCTAAAGTACCAGCAAGGAAGACTAGTATGTGAAAGTAGACAAGAGATTTTTAATAAATTTGCACAGGCATTTGCAAGGTTATGCCTCTATCTTAGCTAACCTGTAAAGCTGTTCCCAGGAAAAGATACTAGAGAAAAATAGACATTTATACAAAATTATAAAATGCTCGTTACATGAATTATTGCTTTCCAAGGGATGTAAACATCCTTTTTCTATGATAGTACCAATTAGGTCTCTCAGAATTTCTAAGGTTTGTTAAAAATGGAACTTGAATTATGCAAAAAATCCAATATAAACTTTCTACAAAAAAAGAGTCCATCCATTCCTGAGTATGCTAAAGCTATAAAACAGAAGGAGCACTGAGCAGGCAGCAGTTTTCACAGTAAGAGGTTTAAGGACATTTTCTTTCTACACACTGTTTCCCTCCTTCTTCATATTCTTGTTTAGAAATCCACATCTGTTGAAAAGTACCCTACAAAAACAAAACAAAAACCCAACAAAACACAAAACACACACACAAAGAAAAAAAAAAATATCAAAAACAAATGGTTAAGTGAAACATGATTAGCTTTTCCTAGGAGGAAAAACAAGCACGTCTTTACATTAAATGAGGTAAGAGGACTTGACCTGGTTGACTATTGTCTCCTTTCAGTTTATATTGCTAGTGATTAACCTAAAGGCAGGAAGTTGCAGTACCAAAAGCTGATTTCAGTCTCCCTTTTCCCATACTGCTAAATGAATCCCCACAAACCATTTCAGTGCTCAGTAACTCGCAGAATTAAGCTCAGGAATATGAGGCTGAAGCAGGTTTGCTACTTTCACGGTGTATACACACGTCATTTCTAGATACTGTATTTCAAGCCCGCACCTTGCTGTTGTTAAAAATGGGAGAGTGTGGCAAGTTATTTTTTGATTCGAAATGCTCATGATGTCTCATTTTTTAAATATATTCTCTTCACCTTACCACAAAGATAGACAAGATTATGCTTGCTACAGTAGCACAAACTCTGCAATGCACACTTAAGTGGAATTAGATTTTTGGGTCACAGTGCTGCTTAGCATAGCAACATAGTAACGCAAGTTTACTAACCAAAGAAGCCAAAATCGAACCACCAATCCATGAGCTGAACCTCCGCTCCACTGTTGTGTTGTTCGCTATCAACTTCAGGCGCATACTCTGAATAGAAAAGGAAGTAAAATGAAAGAACAATCAAATGACAGGCTGGTGACCTTCAGGGACAAGAGAAGGACAGCACAAGGAACTTGGTTTATACACCAACACGCAGGTGAAAAAGGTCAATTTTATTAAACTTGCAATAATGCTCATCTGCCCTGTACTTAGAATTCAAGAACAGTCATAGTTGAACACCTGTGGCTTTTACCTTGTCTCCCAACAGGGAGCAGCAGCAAATGCTTAAGGCTAGAAATCAGGCAGGTAGAGATCAATAATACTCACAGTACATAGTGTCATCTGACACTGGGCTACTTAAAATGTGCATGGGGACTAAAATGTCTTAACGTTGCTGAACTTAATTCATCTAGTCCTTTTCAGACCCATTCATTCCTTTTGCTTTCAAAATGCCTTGTACCAATAAAATCTTTAAATTTCAATGGGTTCCTCCTCAGCTATTATAAGAAGTAGGAACTACCTTTCTGTTTCTTATAACATTCATGATTTCAGAGTTGCTACAAGTAGAATATTTTTTCCTGAATATGAATATTCAAGAAATATAAGCTATATGTGCTCTCAAGAACACAGGTGTAAGGTATTAATACTTTCTTTGACATCAAGGGACTAAAAAAATACAAGTATTTTAAATCACCAGGTTTTATCTATGAGTAGGTTGACTTGTCTGTAGAATCCAGGAAGAACAATTCCCATGACAAAGTGACAAGACCTTAGGCAGAATGACTGAATGTGCCTCAAGTTAGTTGCAATGCTTCAGAAGAGAGGCCATCAAGGGAGATAGTAACTGTTGCTTAGGGACAATTACAGAACTTAGAATCACAATCTGAAAGCAGGAACGAGAAGTAAAATATTCAGACAGCAGTTATAAGATCTGCTGGAATTCATTTCATCTAAGAACTTTTCAAGATTTCTTTCTTTTCTTTAGAGAAGGAGGAGATTTCTTGCCCCACAGAAATCTCTTCAGCTGTCAGGTTCCTAACAAAAGTCAAAGCTATGATACATGCTTGTGTATTTATGTGGCAGAAAAGCAAAATGATAAGTAACTCAATGCAGTAATTTAAAGAGTTGTTTTACCGGTGGAGTTTTCTGAGACAGCTCCCTGTTCAATCTGTCTGTGAAGCTCTGTATTAGAGTGTTTCCTCCTGCTACAATCACACTGCCATAGAGGCCCTAAAAAGAGAATAAGCGACCTACAATATTAACTCTGAAATCATTCTGAAAACAACTGTTTCACAGAATAGAGAGGAATGGCACATGAGTATATACAATCAACAGCAATAATACATCACTTGATGCCAATGATATTACCTCTCCAAATCCAATTATTTTTAATCACTTGAAAAAATCTCAAGACAGCTTTAATATTAAACTATACAAGGAAGACAGAAGCCATGTGATTAATGATTCTAAATGATTTCACACAGTATTTTCTACTACGGAGAACCCTACACCTACAAATATCTCCTGTATCCAAACTGTTGGTTTTCTTACAGCGGGATGTTCCAAGCACAAAGGAAAATGCCACAGCACTGCAACAGTTTTCAATTTCACTAATGCTGCAGTTGGTGAACACAAACCATGGCCTGGCCTACTAAGCCTGCCTGATGTGCCACTTAAGAGGGAAAATTTTTGAAACAACCCCCATGCAGTCCGTATCAAAGCTGAATATTTTCAAATTGACATCTGATAAAGTTAGAACATAGTTTTAAAAAGAAAGTATTCCTTTAAAACCTCTTTTCTTCCTTCTACTCTCTACAAAAGTTCCGTATGATTGTTATGTTTAGAAAGTATATCTGCCACACCCAAAAATCTGAAGATAACACTCAAAGTTACAAGCATAAAATGCTCATCTGAAGCCAATCCAATGCACATTATGCAGTGCCGGCCACAAAATCTGGACGGTGGCTATTTAAATATACATAGAAACAGTGAGTAAAAGTAAAAAAATCCTGATTCAGCATTTTGTAACACAAAAGAGTAATTGTACATATTCCTGTATACGTATATGTAACATTTAGAGAACTATTCTAATGTGTTTATCATCATCCTAGGAAATACACATTTCTTCATCAACAGTGTCCTAGTTCCCAAAAATTGTATCAGCACAAAAATATCCATGCCTTAAAATAATATGTGTCTGACTAACACTTACCGGCCTGATGTCTATATCACACATTCCAACGCTTGTTGTGACAACGTGGCTCACGCCCAACATCGTGTTACCAGATAAACCCTAGAATTAAAATTAGTAATCTACACATCGTCACTTCAAAAGAGCAAGGCATATAAAAGCCCCGAATAAGTTGAATTTACAAGTATTACTAGAGAGGGAGCTAAGCTTTTTTTATGAAAGGAAAAAAAAAAAAATTTCCTACTTTTCCATTCAGCTCATCACCACCCATTTTGAACTATATTTTGTCCTTCGCTTGCCCAACCTTAGTACAACACAGGCACATTCTACCCCCAAGAGAACCACACAGTGTAAATATACACACACAAATCATGAAATTAAGAGAATCATACAAAAGGAAGCCATGTGATAATCTAGTAATTTAAAGCCTTCCAATTACTGCATATGATAGTTGTTTTACCTTTACGTTAGAAGGGTCAAACAATCCCTCAGGAATTTTTAGGCGCTCAGCACCAAAGTCACAGTTATAGCCGTTGGGGAACTCGTAATGAACTGTTGGCATCTGTGCTGCTACCCTGGAGCATCAGTCAGAAAGTAACACACTGAAGTGCTATGTAAACAGCATGCTAAGTTATCTAAGTAGCACTATAAACTAAGGTTTCAATAGGAATACTGTGATTTATATGACTTACATTTTTGATAATATTTATTATTATTTCATGCATCTTGGAATATTAAATAAAAAACTATCAGCTGGATGTACACTATATTTCTACTTTCAGAAATAAACAGTTTTTATCTAAAAACCTTCTGTAACAAAACCAGCCAACTGCAATGAACAGGCTAAGCACCCCATGCACAAGAAGGAAAACAGTGACATACTGTTCATCATAGGTTGAATCTGATACTTGGAGGACAGAAGCTTGGAAGTCCTGAATGACACACTATGGAGTTAAGAATAACATGGTTATAAGAATTTCAGTCTTCAATTTTATAGAATTGATACTGACTTTTTAAAGATTCCCCAGTTCAAGAGGAAAATCTGATATACTTGCAAACAAAACTTCTTCATAGGATGCCTAAGGGAGTTTGAGAGGGGGAGAAATGACCTACTTACATTACACATGTAGTTGTGCCAAGACCTAGTGACCTGGGGTAACTTCTCTTTTCTCTTCCAATTTGCTGGCGACCCCTCACGAACTGCCTCCTGAGATTGTAGGAAACGTGATCATCAGTTAACCACTTAAGCCTCTCCCCAAAGACTTACTAAATAAAGTTACTTTCCCACCTTTGAAGCAATCATATATGGAGGAATTATCTCTATATTCATTTCCTGAAACAACTCCCGGCACTGCATAGTAATAAAGTCTCCTGCAAGTGGTGATTTTACAATACCTAGAAGACAAAAAGTGAACCAAAACCCCAAAATACCCCACCAACCTGAAAAGCACCGAAATCACAAATAAACTCTCCCAACAAACTATTTGTCAGTGAACGTTAGGGGTTTTTTCCATATTTAAGGGGATACACAGATTTAAAAACAATAACAAAACTGTAAAAGTAGAAACCAAGCTCACTTGACCTTGATACTACAATGCCCATGAAAATTTTTACCTTGCTGAAGTACATATCCATCATGCACTGGAATAGCAGTGGTGTGTGTTGCTCCACTATCCAAAATGAGACCTGTAGATCTCCCATTAGCAAAACTAGCCAAAATGATTAAGGAAAATACTGTAATTTTCACTTTAGAAAAAAATGTTGCCATACAATTACAGCATAACTAGGAATGAGGACCCCAATGTGTTATTCCTTGGCTCTACAAAAGGATTTGCTGTTTTCAAGTGCGTATTGTCTTTCTATGAAGCGCACAACCTCATAGACAGAATGGCATTTAACTTCTATCTGCGAACTAACTTGAGCTTTGGGCGTACAAAGGTGAGATTTTATGTCAATACTATGCAGCAAGCTCCAAGTACATCCAACTCATTTAGACTCTGAAGCTGAAAACATGTTATTAGTTTAAAATAATTACAAACACTCATCTTAAGGCTATGGGAACTTCAAGCTCTAATTACTGTATTTAGTAGTCTGGACAGCACCATTTCAGGTCTACAGCTGTTATATTTCTACCCGTGGTAGGAAAGAAAAAAAGTTAGACATGTTGTTATACTAGGAATTGCCTAGAATAAGTTTACTGTAATTTCCTGAGGGGAAAAAAAAAAGGTAAAAAAAAAAAAAAGCAGTGAATCGTTCCGAAGGATACGCTGTTAGAACAGCAGTTTTACACAAGAAAAAAGCAGGGATGTTGTAGTGTTCAAACATCAATTCCGTCAGTTTTTCACGCTTTGCTCTAGTATTCCACTAGAAGAAAAAAAATAAACCAAACCACAAATAAGTGACCAAAATGAAGATATGTTTATCTTGAGGATCATTAGAGCACACTAGAAGAATGCTAACATAATAAAGAAGTAATTAGAATTATTACAGCCACAGTTTCAAATCATACCAAAATTCTAGAGACAGATTTCTAGTAATTTACGTCTTTAGAACCCTTTTTATTCCAACTCTACTACAATACATTATTGGTTATCTATCACACAGAATTAAAAGTGTCATACACTTTTACTGTTACAACAGAGATTTCTTCACAAATCTACAGTTCTTCTAGTATCAGTCTCTCAAAGAACTCCCCAAAACAAATAACATACCCGTTTTACAAGGGGAAAGATACATGAAATAACTTGCTTAGCTTTTGTATGGCATGTCTACCTTTTGTATTCTTACTTTAAGATCTGCCCTTCAAATGCTAAGCATTATTAAGTGACAGAAACCTTGTCCACATATTTTCCCAGAAATTTGTATTCATCCACTTCACTTACCTTACACGGCCATTTACAGAAATGAGGACAGAAAAATTAAAACTTTGCCATTATAAATATTATTCTCTGTCATGTAATACTAGTTGTAAGGCTGAATGAAGCAACAGATTTTCAATAGCATTTTATTAAGTTAACTTAATACATAATAAGACATCCAAACATCTTTTTGCTTTTATTCTAGGCAGAAAAGTAAGATTTCTTTTTTCATTTCGACATCTGTTTGATAAGTGAAAAACAATAGCACATTTTAAATGCTTTCTAATAAAACTCATGCAAACTATTCAGAATTGTTTTCTTTTTTAGACATGTTTCTTAAACAAGTTACTTTCCAGAACCTGCCAAAGTATTTTAAAATTGTTATTTCTGTAGCTAAGTTTAACAGTTGTAACCTACAAGCTGACTTGTCCAAGAGTAATGTTTGTAGAGTCAGCAAGAAGATATAGTTAAGACTTATGAAAATGCAAAGCTGCTTTTACTCACTGGTGCTTCGGACATAAGGACAGGATGCAAACTTGCTTCAGATTTAATATGCATCTTGTAAGTGTGATCCAAAATTGCCTGGAAACTATCCCAGTCTTCAACTGTAACAACATTGAAGTGAGCAGATTAGTTACCTCTAACTTTTGTTCCTTTTCATAAATATGTAAAGGTTTTCCAATGCTTTTTTTGCATAAAGCCCTTTAGTCAAAAGCTATCCTCAGCGGACATACACCTCCTTTAACAGCTTTGCAGAATTATCTTCACCTGTAATCATCATGATCATAACATTTCAAGAATCATACTGAAAGTCCACTAACACTGTAAACCAACTATACTTAACGCAATTTGTAAATCCATTCTTACAGCTTCTGTTGCCATACACAGCATCTGTTTACATGAAAGCTATGACTTTGCAGCCTAGCAATGCTATTTTGAAAACAGGTAAAAAAAGACAGAGCACCATACTCATTCCATTTTTCAAAGGTGAAATGGCCTCCATATTTTCCCTTGGAACTCTCAGGGCATTGGTGTCTATGTAGTAAGTCGGGCCCCCTTGTTTGCCTTTGTCACCATCTATCTCCATCAGAGTGCTGCCATTGTCCCTTTCTAGCACCACACCAATGGCTGTTGGAAAATCAACCTGTAAGGCAAAAGGTAAGCATTATATGAGAATTATTAATGTTTTGGGTGGTTTTTTGCTCATAAATTCAGAACTTTCCTTATACAATACAGTCAGAACAAAACCCAGGGTATTCTGAAAACTCGTAACTAACAAACAAGACCTAAGGTATAAATTCATGTTGCATTTCCATTGAGTCACACAGATTCTCACCTTTGGACAGTCCTCTCCCGCATAGCCTGCTCTCACTGTATATGAGCCAATATCAAAAACAAGAGCCCCAACTTCATCTGAAAAAGATGGTTAATAAAGAAGCAGTGAATGATTATTACTACTACTCTACTACAACCCTGACCTTTCCCTGACTGCTGTCCGTTTTGCTTGCAAAAGGAGAAAAGCAAGTCAAGGCATCTTTTTCAAGGCAAGAAAAAACTTCTCTATTCAGAACTTCAGGTACTGGAGAGCTATCAGAAGACTGCAGACAGGCTTTAACTGGGACATTGCAATACCTTCCTTCGGCATAAATAAAAAGAAGCGGGAGAACACAGTTGCATCTAAATAGATTACAAGATAAAGCTTTCAAAAAAGCACTAACTTAACAGTCACACGAAGCCAGGTGAGCCCAGACTTGCCAGGGATGATCAGAATTAGAAAGGTGGGACTGAAAACACCAACTCTGTAAGCGAAGGCTGCCACACCATGAAGCACCCTCATCCTTGCGGGCCCCGATCCTCGCCAAGCTGTTCTGCACGTCCTAAAGAAGACCAAAGTCTGTAACAAAACACCTGGACTTTAGTCCTCACAGAGGGGTGTGCAGAAGTGCTCTGGGAGGAAACCACCCTCCAGTTTCGAAAGCGCGGGGGTCTTCTCGGGCCACTCGGCACCCAAGTAGCGCTAATTCAGCCCAAGCCCACGGCTTGGCCGGTATCCGGGGAAAGCATCCCATCGAAAGGACGCCGGGAGGGTC